TGTTTGCGTAACCACAATTTAATCCGCGTCTACGAAAAAATCCTTTGTAACACCGAAACGCGCTCTCTTCTTCTCGGACCAGTCGCGAAATAAAATTCGCCCAGCGAGACCACGTATAACATTACTGCCAACGCGTATCCCAACGACCGTCGAGATAGTCGAATTAACATCCGCGTGGATAGAGGGGAGGATAACGATGGAATCGGAGAACGAAATCGAAGAATGAAACCGAATAGAGTATACCAAAATTAGTAATTTTAGCGATCATCATTCTCACCTTCGAGGACTCTCGAGTACCCCAATCCAATTCCAATTTAACATACGTTTAATGCGCCAAAAACTAAATACAATAATACACATATAAAAGAAGCAAAACGTACAAAGGGTTACAAATGAAAACTTAGACTATGAGATCGATGTCTCCAGCGTGAAGCACTCGCGATCTAGAATCAAACTTAATTCCAATAGTATCCCAGTGTCTAAGGTAGCAGGCCTTACCGATGAGTCCTCTTTTCCTACCGTCCCTTATAGCTACGCCACCCCATTGAGGGATACCTGCGACCAGCTGGCTTCAAATAATGGTGGGAGAGGAAACCCCCATAGTAAATTTAGTATCGAAATCTCTCGCGTTATTTTTTCCTAACGACCCTTTAAAAACGCGACGCACGCGCGGGGTGCGTGATTAAACGCCGCAGCTGCACGGTTGCCCCCGATGAAGGATTAACCCCCGCGCGAAAAATCGGCGTTCGAGGATCATCCGGGAGATCGTTGTATAAACTGCTATCTATCGGTAACTCCGGTTTCGGCGGTGCATCGAATTTTTTCTCGGTCGATGGCGGCCAGTAACAGGTGTCCCGTAAGTAGCGTTTTGCATTCCGGATGCGGGAAATGATGGATCGCGGGGGTAATTCGACGCCGCTGTTCCACGAGGAAGCTCTGAGAGCGAAAGAGACGGGTGGGCGGGCAGGAGACAAATGTAAAGGGTGAAATAAAACGAGAGGGATTTCCTGAGAGGGGAAAAACGAGCGGGCAGAAAATGGAAAAGCCTGTACGCCTGAGCGTGGCGTCGAAAGAGAAAGGCTTCCCATTGATGGAGTTAATTTCAACGGGAATACGTACAGAGTCGATCCGTGAATAACACCGTTGAAAAGGTTATTTCGCGAAATACCCCGTGTTTAATCGAACTCGCCGATATAATATAATAATGGAGGGATTTAATCGAGGTTATTTCGATTTTTTCCTCTCTCGCTACTTCCGTCGGGCAGGAAAGGGAACTGTCGCGCGGATTAACCGATTCGTTGGATGGAGTAACCAACCGGATGAAGTAATTACGCGAAATGGGAGGAAAAAGAGTGACGCGCGGATATTTTTTTCGCTGGCTAAATTACGCGATTGTTACAGGAAATGGAAAAACATTGAGCTATGATCCCCGACGTCCCATCGGAGACGTTTCGTCGATTTCGTAAACGCGATTCTCCCGCGACCCGCTCGCGATTCCGCCCGATGACGAAGAGCGAATTATCGGAATGACGCGGGGAACTACATACGCGGGAAATTTATATGAACGGACTTTTAATTAATCAAGCGAAACTTCCTCCGTTGTTCTTTTTTCCCACCCCCCATATTCCACGGAAATTCGCGTATTCATGGCAATCGTATTACGACTACAACACGGAGCAGAGTTTCGGGTTCGTTGCGCGTATGGAAAGAAAGGAGCAGTTACGTAATCACGGCGGGAATAACTGGAAGCTGCTCGAACTAAATTACAGTTGGCGTGGCGCGTTAATTAATTACCATTGGCACCGTTGTTAATCAGCTTCGTTAGAACGCGGAAAGTAATACGGAACTTTGATGTCCCCGTTGTTGAAAATCGACCGGTGTTCTGTCAACAGCGAAACGTCACGCGAGCACACGGGGCCAACGCTCGATACTCTGCGCCTCTCTGGCTATGTATTTTTCCTCGAATCTAATAATTACCGGAATACAGAATCCGATACGTAACGTTTTTCTACGGAAATACGCGTCCCACCCGCGTTTCACCCGCTGGGAATTACGGAGCGTCTCTTCTCTTCAACAAGCTGATGTGCCAGCTCGAATGTTCCGGGGCAATGAGATTACTTGGGTAACGCGTGATACGCGTTACAATCCGTTACTTTGTTCCGAATTAATACTCGTATCGCTAGACTGGATATTAACATTGTTCGTACTTCGCAGTTCCGGATACCCGTTGTGCAACTCGCTCTCCTCGTGTCAACCTCGATCCTCCAACTTCTCATCGCGTTAAGATCTATCGACGAGTAACTCGATTACATCTTCCGAGTATTCAGGTAGTCCGTGACGAGACGGATTCTTCGTACGAATATCGAAGACTACGTGGAATTCCGATATAAGAACCCGATGAGATGGACAAATTAATTTTCACGTTAATCGTTCGATTCTATCGCGTGTTTCGCTTGTTAAAATCTCGAGACGCTTCGATAGATCGCGAATAAAAAGATTTTTTAGGGAAAAAAGGGAACAACGAGTTTCTATCCCAAAGGTCTTGCCCACGTGGCACCCATGGGCGCGGGATTGAGATACGCTCAATCAGCGCGTTCCGGCGCGCATCTTACACAAGGAACTGCTAATCAACTCGCGGTACGCAAGACCCACGTGTTACCCTTGGGTCGGGTGGGACCTTTTCGAAATCCTTGCCATCTCTGGGGAAAAAGGGAACAATTAGAAGGAACCTGAGAAATTATTTCGTTATATCTTCTCTCGTCGAAGTAAGCGAAAGAGCTACGATCAATTGTTGGCCGAGGCTTCTAATCCGATCCTTCTTCGATCCTTTTCGAGCTGAATGGTTGGAAAAACGGAGACACGGTCGACGGTAATGAACCCTGCGCTTTGGTCAATTTACATCGCGACTCGTTCGCTCGTCGAGGATCGAGGGTGAGCTCGTGTCGGCAAAAACGTACACAATTGGAACGCCCTCGAGTCATATCCGATCTGATTACCAGGCTGTTAATTACGTCGATAATTAGCGGCCATCGGTACCGTGTAATTTCGTCGACTCGTCTCTGGCTGCGGATGATGGAACATCGCGAAACGCAAACGACGCGTCGGTTGAATCATCTTCCACCCCCTTCTTCCGCCATTGCGAACCTTCGCGGGTCTCGATCACGATCTCGATCTCGCGGATTGATTTTTCGTCTGACCGTCGACTCGACTCGATCTCCGCGTATTAATTCCGCGGAAAGAGAAGTGCGATAACGCGGCTAATTGGACGAGGGGCGATTAAACGGGGCAGAAGGGGATAACGCGTTTGAAACGGCGCGGAATCAATGATTAAACACGCGAGCAACGTCGCAAATGAGTGTGTCGTCCTGATTAAGTGATTTAAAATACGAGTAAGTAGGAGAGAATTACATGGAAAATGAAGTTACGTACGGTTGGCTTAAAGAGGACATCAGCTCGCCTTGATCGCGTTTCAAAGTGGACATCTTAAAATACCGATAACGGTCCGACCTAATTGGGTAATGATCTGCTTCGTCCAAATCTGCGCCTTTACCTTCGGCCCTGTGAAAATCCTGAGCGATTTCTAGGCCAGCTGATACGCTTCGTTTAACAGCTTTACGAACAAATAAAGTGGGAGTAATGGCGAAACACTGGCTGGCACGTTCTAGCTAAATAATCCTGAAATTATTAACTCCATCGTTTCGTTGTTGTAGCAATTTCGATATAAACCGAGCACCGCTATCTGGAATAAGCAGCGTAAATTTTAACCAGGCAATCTGCTAATATTATCGTCGATTTTCCTTCTCGCCCGATTAAATATTTTCGACAACGTCGTCGAATACGCCACTCCATTTCGGTACAGTTTATTCTGTTTCGCGCTTGATTCTTGTATTCGAAATGTCGGACTTTTTCCACGTGCTTTATTTCGCGACGGGAGGATATACCTAGTACCAATTACACAGTTACAGATATCACATTGGTATTAACTCTTTGACTGCCACGCCGAAATCACATGTTTCGCTCAGGACGCTATAGCGCACCTTGTTAATAAAAATTTTTAATCGTTCAATGGGGCACTTTTTACTTCAAGGTATCTTCTAATTAGCTGTTATATTCAAAATGCACTAACTGTTAATTTTCATTCGATGTTGGTCAATGTAGTTTAAGTAGTTCAAGCGCTCCGGTCACCAATGACCACCGTGGCAGTCAAAGTGTTAATTAGTAGGTACATACGTTGAAGCTTTCATCATCGACAGTTTTAAATAGAATGAAATATCGTGGGAATGAAAGTCTTCGACGTGAAAAGAATGTTATGTTCATGCCAGAATGTCGATTGCTAGCGAGGAGTCTAAGAATGCACTCGTAGATTTAGAGTACATGGCGCCATGGGGCGAGTCTGCGTTGCGCGTATGAAGCAACTGCTGGAGGAAGAGAAAATGAGTTTGGAAGGGACGAGACAGTGAGAAACAGAGGGTATTAGAGTACAGACGTATGAGAGATCCTGCGTGTTTTCACCCTTTTCATCTCCCCAACCTCGTTCCACTAGCGCGTGGGATGTAACTATAAAATAATCCCTGCAATATCTCATACGCGTAGATACAACGCTAAAACTTCATTGCGAAAAAAAGCCTACGGGTTTATTCGGGTATGATCGTGTTTATAAATTCATTCGCGCAGAGAAGAATAGAAAACCGATACGCCGTGCCATTCTATCTATTTGTACGTAAAATAATCCGTCGCATCGATCATTGCCCGTTCCGCAAACTCTTCTCTGGTTTTCACGCATAGAATTCTCACATGCAGCTAATCGCGCGTCAATTGATTCATCCACTTCGCTGATTCTTCTCTTCCATCTCTCAGTCACCGATTCGTATCGTGGCGTGAACACACAGTCGGACATGTTCACGTCGCAATCATCGGTGCCCATAAAGTCACGGCAACAGCTCGACGCGGATCGTGAGAGCAGAACCGTTTGAAGACAAAATCCTCGCCTTTGATTGCAGCCCTGCGAGAACCCGAGCGATTTCCGGGCAGAGCAATGCGCCGCGTTCGACGACGTGCCGTACAGCGGGCAACTGCTGAAATGGTATCCACATTACGACCCGACCAGGCCGTGCGCTTTGATCTGCCGTGGCGAGCAATCGCTGGAGAACACCGAGGGTCGGCTCAGGCAGGAAACGTCCGCCGAAAAGACGCTTCCGCGCGACGCCACCGACGCTTTGCAGCTTGACAGCGAGGAGACGATCGTGGTCCAGCTCGCGGACAAGGTGGAAGATGGCACCAAGTGCTACATCGACAGCGTGGACGTCTGCATTGGTGGTGAATGCATGGTGAGTGATCCGAATTTCTTTTACGATTTTCATAGGAATCTGACGTGCATGGATAAGCGAGCAGGGAAAAGATAGAAAAGAAAACGTGAAATTTCCCGTTTTATCCCTTGTTAACAGACCCCGCTTTATTCGCTCCTGTATAGTTGCACTTCCTGGACTGAGGGATAATATACTGATAATTTACTGAACGGATAATGAAAGCTTCGAGGTTTTTACAGGTGTCTTGGATAATATTTTCTCAACTTAAATTTCTGATAGGCAAGTTACGACGAAGATCGAGCACTCTCTCTGGCAAATAACATTCGGCAACCGATCGTCGCATTGTTTCAAGATCGACGATTTATGCGACATCCAATTAGTACGTAGCCCAGGGCGCGAAAATCGTCGATCGGTGAATCGTTAAAAGCGTTCGTCTCCGTTGATTTTTCCGTCGTTGAATAAAATTCTACGTTTATCTCGAACGTCGTGGACGTAAAGAGGGGAGCGGAATCGGATCGTCGTATTTTAAATCTGGTTAAACCGATATTTCGAGAAGCAAAGTATCCTCTGTCTCTGCGAGCCGTAGTTCCGTTTGGCTGGAAGAAAAAATGTTGTTCCGCAAAACGCATTAATTTCGCTCCGCTTCGCGAGGCAAGAGAGTTTCGTTTCGCTGGAATCCAATTTGATAAGTGAGTCGTGGTTCATTCGATTTGAAGGAAGTTGGCGCCAGTGAAACCGGAAACGTTTATCTCCCGGGAGAGAGCAATTTTTGTGCCGTGTCAGTATCCCTTCCGGTGCGCCATATTTTGTACTTTGCACGGAAGTTTGCGAGTTCGGCCTGCCAAACCGCGCTCCATCCAATCTTGTGTTTTACGCACGCCCGAGCGCGATTTCTGGCTGCCGTTTAATCGGGCATAGTGCAACGCGTTTCTGCCGGTGAAAATTCGATTACGCGAATTAATTGAAAAATATCTGGAAGTAGGGCGGAGAAATATGACCGTCGTGGCGGTCTAAAGAGAGGGGAAAAAAGGAGCGATAGTGGAATAATGGGTTGGAAAATATACGCGAAATTAATTGGCTTACCCGATTTGTCGTGGGAGATAAATCCGTATACATAATTCACAACGCACAACGCGGGATTATGAATATTTAAGGCGGAAGTCGAATGATTTGCACAACTTGCACGGATAGTTGCTCGATAATAAAGTAATCAAACTCAATGGCAACGCTCGAATGGGCTTGGAAATAATCTCGATAAGGCACACACTTTCTGCAGTGCAATTTATAGTGTTGGATACGTATGAATACCAGGCCTGTAACGACGTTACGCGTTAATTAATCGGCATCGCGATGATTATAATTGAAGATCGAAGACGCGTATGCAAACTGTCTGAATGACGTGACACGCGAGAAATTTCCCTATCGGTCTATCGTATTCTCTGTCAATATTTGACACGATTCGCTTGCGCCAAACGTAACGTCGCTCCGTTGGTAATTGAAACGCGTTGCAATCTTTAAATTAATTTACAATAATGGACCAACCCGGCGTCGCTTATTACGTTTGATTAAATTTATCGCAAACAAATTATCCTCTCGTGTCGCGTAATTTCGTAACAGATGAACTACGCTGCGAACGAACGAAAATATTCGTGCGATTCGACGGGAACGGTTGCACCGTGCAAATAATATCGTTGACTTTTTAAGCGCCCCTCCATTCGCTTAACGAAAATACCACGGTTCGCGCGTTTTGGGAATTAAACAATCGATAGCGACGGTGATTTATTATATTTCATTACAACAATATCGCGATACGAACGCCGGCCTCGGTACGAACATTATTTAGGCTGTACGGAACATTAACGAAAGCTACATCGATATTTAATATATCATAAATACCATGCATTTGTACACATATTGAAACGGGGCTTATTTACCAATGAATATCCAGCCCGTAGTTGTAGAATAACGTAATAACCGTTGTTAATTGAACGCTCCTTTTATGTTTGTAATCAGTATACTGATACGGAACAATGTCGAAAATATTTTCAATTAAAACCATGCCGCGCTGTACTCGTATTTCTATTTTCCTTCGAATGAGATCTAATAAAACCGTATCAATAATCGCCTCGATGTACGTATATTTCAAGCGTGCGATCGTATTAATGATAGCAAACATTGATTTAATAAACGAGCGTTGTTTACGTAAATAATTAAGGCAAATTAGTTAGTTTCACCATCAGCCGTGCCCGGAAAGTATTCGAAGCGCCGAGAGTCGGCAAGCGCATTAGTCAGTGGTGCAGGTCGGCCGTTGGTCAGACGAGCGAAGTGATCGAAGCCCGTAAAGCATCGGCCCGTTCGAAAATTAATCCATTCGATTACCATATGAATTTCTATGCGCTTATTCCTGACACGTCGTTCCGCGTCGCAACAATGGCAGTCATTATAAATAAAGTAGCAATTTTTGCGAAAACATTCGAGACACGGGAAACGAGTCGTTTTCAACGAGCACTCGATATTGCATACATTCGTGCAACTCGATAAAATTTTGAAGGTTTCATTTGCAAGCTTTATCGCGCTATTAATATGCGTTTAAAACATACATGTACGCAATAGTCGTTTCGTTCAAAGCTGATTTCGTTTCCCCTCAAATTGCTATATGTATATCTCCCGCGATAAAATCGCGATTCTGCAAAATCGCTGCAAAATAGTATATTTCTGGAATACCGTGAAATTCTTGAAATTTCGCGGTAACAAGATGAAAGACGAGTTAAAATATAATTCGATTTTTCAATCCGATTTATCCGGCTGTAAAAAAATACGACGAAACAATCGTCTCTAATCGACCAGATACGCATCACTCTCGGTCCATCCACGTTTCTTCTTCCTTCCTATTCGAGACGGCCCCGATTTATATTCGCAGCCCAGGTATTCCGAATGCCAGCCGACCAAAGGACAATTAATTAAAAGCAGAGATCGTACTTTTAAATATGCGATCCTATCCCGACCCCTTGGCCCCGGATTACGCTGAAAGCGCCAGTTAAGAATTAAGTCGCAATTGCTGCATCCCTTGTCGAAACTTGGCGAGGAAGAAGAAAGTTCCGGCGGAAACTCGAGGCCGGGAAATTTGCTCAGGTGAAGCATACAGTTCCTTCTATCCGCCTATCCTGGCCCCTCTCCTCCTCTCCATCGTACCCCGCTTCTCCCCTTGGCCGGACTCGTCCAAACTTATTTATAACTTTTGGTTTTCTGTCCACGATTGTGCGCCACCGCGTTTTTCCTCGGTCACGGAAAATGCGAGCTAACGAGGCGTCGTCCGCGCTCGTCTTCCACCAATATTTACCATGGGTGCGTCGAGACGCCCGCACTTCTCGTCCATTAAGTTAATTCGATCTTACTTTACACCGTTGACGACTTTGTGTACCGAGAAACAGGCTACCTCGCGAGGGAGCTATTTCGTCGATTAACCCCTTAAGTAGTCGCTGGCTGTCTCAAGCCTGAGAACACCAACAGCGAGTGACGTTTGCCAATATTGATATTGTTTATCGCTTTATCCATCGGCTGACTAAACGCCCAGCTGTCTCGTTTAAACACGTCGCGGCGTCGCAAATTCCTTCGCTTCGGCAATTTCCAGCGCACAATTTTTTAATCCCCCCAACGCGAGACGACAAAGTCGATTATGGCAGAAATATCGTCCGCTCTCGCGCGAATTCTCGGTTGAAATAATTGCGAATTACGGCTGATGCTTTATCGTAAAACGGGATATTCCGCGAGACATTTGCCCGCAATTCCCGCGTAACACCGTGCCACGGATGAACGCGATATCGAAGGGGGGTTACTCCGGCATCGAAAATTTCAAATATTAATCCCTCGGTCCCGAAGACTTCTTTTATTACAGGAGAGCAATAACTCGAAGCTTCTCCGAGACTAAGAGAGTAGCCACTCGAGTACAAAGACGTGGACGATGACTCTCAACTTTTGACGAATTCTTAATTCTTTTTCGCGACGAAAGCAAGATCCGTTAGAGGAAGAAGCTGCGGACTAGGCGAATGGTTGCAGCATCGGGGAACGAGGGAAGAAACTAGACAAGCGATGACGATTCACGAGTACGTCCAAGGGGGTGTCAAGAAATAATTAACGGGATTTCATAGCGGCGACAGTGGCGGAGAAGCTGGAAGGACAATATCTAATCAGCAGACAGGTCCACGTAATTAAGCACTAACCGAGCTCCGGTAAACGCAAACTGGATTTGCATTATTAAAGCGTCGGCGAGTTCTCTCCTCTGGCGTTGGACACGCTCGATAAGTGCGCGACGCTTTTGTACCATCGCGACTCATTAGAGTTTGTCTTCTGTGCCCGGAAATTCCTCCAGTTGTTTCGTTTCGCGTCCTCTTCCGCGTGCACGCTTGAATAACTTGTAACGCGAATCGACCGCCATATTGTCGTCTCGGGTTATCTCGAATACGAGCGAGTTTCGACACTCTCGATATCTAACGAGTAGATATATATATATATAATAGAAATACCGTCTAACACGGGACCGTTCCGCGAACATCCAAGTTACAGCTTAGATCTCGTAAAGTAGTATTAATGCCAGACTAATTGCCGGAGTAATTCGTAGTAAATATAATACGCTCGATTTCAGCCAACTTCTGCGATAACATCTCGCGACTAGTCGTTTGAAAATCGACGAAACCATGCATAACGAGGTGCTCGCGACGCCAGCCTCCACTGGTTCCGGAGAACCAGCCTAGAAGAGAACAGAAGGGTACGCGAGGAATTAGGAATACGCAGCGATCCCCGGTGGCTGCGCGATAAATTCCATCGTTTCAGTGGAAACGGGCGGAATAAGGCGGACAAAGTGATCGAGTCCGTCTACGGCCGAGAAATCCCATTCTCCGGGAAACTATGTTAAAAGGCAGGAACGAGTGTAGAGAAAAGAAGCAGCGGAATGGGACGGATGAGTTAGCAGCGGGTTGCAGGGGGTGAAGACTCGCGGTGGGGAAAAGGGTGTATTGAGCGTAATGGGCTAACTCCGGTGGATGGCAACGGCCGTGGATGGTGTACCGACTGCCGAATGGAACCTTGAAAGCCGGTTTGAATAATTGAACGCCAGTCAAATTTACGTAACGAAATAGCAGGGAGACGGAAAGTCGCGGAAATCGCCGATTTACCTTTCAGCCGGGATCTTGTTATCTAACGATGGGGATAAAAGAGTAATCGGGTGTGAGATTCTCTCCTTATTTTTTTCTCCTCCTACTCCGAACGGGAACGGGCAAATATTTAGAAAACTACAACACGGAGAAGTAAGATGGCGGTGTCGGGCGATAATTATCCTCTTTTCTCGCTTTCGATCGTCGAGCATTCGAATCGCGAACGGAGCGTCTTTACTCGCGGTTAATTTACTCGCGAGTTCCTCGTTGGTATCTAAAGAATCTCCGCGATGCTTCGAAACGAGTGCTCATATTCTCCAACTCATAAACGGCCATTGGTGCGGTATTTACCGGATTTAAAGGTATTATTTGCACGGATCGAGGATAGTCAGGATCGCGCGAGAGGAAGATCGGCGCCGTTAAGTTCCACGATATTTCATTTTGCACGCCCGACCGGCTGGCCGTTTCTCTTCGCTTGTTTACCTAGAGAAATAACCGGTTGCTTCGATGGTCCCATCCTTCAATTACGGGGCTCCGCTGCAGGTTTCCACTTCTCGAGCAAAGTAAACCTAATCCTGAGCGCCCGTATTGTGTGTCTCTTCCGTTCTGTTTGCGCGCGTGCGCTCGCGCGCCGCCGTTCCCGTGCTGTGCACACAGTGGCGCGCGGGCGCGCGCACACGTGAATGCGAATATACCACCTATGCATGTGCCGTCTGTCCCTTTCACGTTTGTCCCTGACAGAATTCAAAAATCGACGGGCTCCGGTCGAGCTCCAGCGACTCTAGGAGAGCAGAGCAGAATCTCTATGAATTTTTTAACCAGCCAAAATGGCTGTCGAAATAAGAGTCATTTTCAACTCGCGCTTCCTCGTTCATTTCGCTCCATTGATCTCTACCTCTTTTTTCTCCTATTTTTCGAGATTTCGAGACCACTTGAAAATCGTTAACTCATGGGGGGTGAGAGCATTCGAGAAGATGTAAATCGTACATTCTGCGAGTATTAAAAACACGCTTCGATCCGAAGCTTCCGTGGGGAAAGTTGCAAATTCGATCCTCTCTCAGTCGATTAGAATCGGTCTTTGAACGACGAGTATGTACGTACGTACGTATATCCTATTTCGTAAGCGTGGTTAAACAGTAGAGTCGTTAAATCGGGAGGAAGGAGAAGAAAGGGGGGAAGTAGAGGTGAAACGGGGATGTTGTTTCGACGTGTTGCGAAAATCGCGTATCCCAGATTTAAACTCCATTCGAACTCCCAGCGGTATACTCGAGGCCGACCTCCTACACAGGTGCACAATGGATGCATACGTGCATCGGTGCATAGACCGAGAAAAGGTCGCGGAACGAATCCGGCCTCGTGTAAAATTAAATCTCAATTCGTCCTGCCAGTATCGCGGACGCCCGTTCGCGTTCTATTCGATTTCTCGAGGTATTCCAGGCTGTTCGAGCTTTTTTTAACCGAGCTTGTAATGCTATTCAGTGGCTCCGTTAAATCGTAATTCACGCGAGCGAGTAAACTCTCCCGACTTTAAGTTCTTCCCCTTGCTTCTTCCGCTCTTTTCTTTCTCTGCCCTTATTCCACCCCCCTCCCCTTTCACTCTTCCTCTTTCGCGCTTTTCCTTTCTCTTCGCACCCTTCCATTCTTCACCGACTATTTTCCTGTTTCGAGTCGGGAAACACGATTCGCCAAAGTTACGCCCCGCGCGAATTCCGGGAGCGGAACGCACCCTCCAACTGTCGAAGAATTTCCGCTGAAGTGTAAATGCTGTTTCTAAATGCTGGCGAAGAGCGAAACATGTTCGCGATGAAAAGGCGGGATACGCGTTGCACGGGCTTTTACTTAAGCGAGACAGGAGATTGACAGAATTTTTCGAAAAATTCTTCCGCCAACATGGCGATCGAATACTAGCCGCCCGAAGATCGTGGTGCGCGCTCGTACACCTCGGTATCGTGTCTAAGAAACGGGACTCGGGAAATATACGCATGGAGAATTCTGAAATTCACAGGAAACGACAAGAAGAGGAATAAAAAGTGGAATAAAGAGACAAACAGTTGGATATAATAGTTACGACGCGAGTGGTGTACGACGAGCGTAAACGTTTATCGAAATCGTCATAGTCGGACAAAATCTTGGATTACCCTGTCGCGACAGTCGATCGTTCCAGCGATCTCGTTACGCTCGTGCTTCCCCTTTTTACCCCCTACCCCATCCATATCCTTCCTCGTCTCGTCTCCCCTTCGCCTGACACCTTTGCCACCAGTTTAGTTCGCTCTTCTCGCCCGGATAAGGGATGAATAATGTACTTCCCGACCTCGGAGCAAACCTCCATGCAGCCTGAATGACAAATCAGTTTGCCGTCCGAGCCAGGTCACGAATCGACGTCAGCTTCTCGTTCGCTTCTTTTTTCCCCTTTCTTCTTCTTCTTCTTCTTCTTCTTCTTCTTCTTCCTACTCCGACACCTCTTCTTCTTCCTCTTCTTCCACTTCTTCTTCCACCACTCCTTCTCCCTTATGCCCGAAAGGTACTACTGCATTTGTACAGGACAACGTTCCAGCTGCGCAGAGCAGAAGCCGGCCGCATTCAGATTCCGCATAGTGACATCCGCCACTCCTCTCTTTACGTTTCATTGATTAATCTTTCACGCTCTGCCTGCTCGATCCACGAATTCCACCTCCGTCCACGACACCCGCTATCGCCCGTCCGTCTTCTATTTATGTCTGCCGAGATAAGAGCCAGCCCGTTGATCGACGCGATACGCGTCGTTTCTTTTTGCCCAACGGTGGAAAAAGGAATTCCAGAGAAAAACGCGTTATAGATCACCCGGGCCGAAATTTGTTTCGCGCTGCAGCAGCAGCAGCCACTGTGGTATCAAGAGACCGAGTTAGAGTTCTAGTTTATTGCAAATCGAAGCGGTCGCTCCCACGGGTGCGTGACATAGCGCTAGATCGTCTTTAGATTATACGCCCTCGTGGACCAATCGCTTTGATTTGCTATAAAACCGAGACTTAGCGCGAAACCTTGGAGTTTAAGTGCCGATTTACGACCCATTTGCCTACTATTTCCTATTTTCTACTCGGCCACGCGTTAATGCCAAGCTAGCTGGAGCCAATTATTACTCGGCCGAACGGAAAGGGTATAAATTCCGCGGGGACAACGGAGATTATAACGGAAATCACGGGAACCCGGAAGGGTCGGAAGCCGTGTTCCTACGGGTTAATTTTTCTCGACTAATTCTGCACGGCCGCGTGAGTAATAGCCGGTGGCTCTGGCTTCTGGAAAAAGAAACATTTAGCGAATGGGTGACGGCGAACGTTATATTAATCGAGCCTCGGGGATTTCTGTTGCAGAAAGTCGGTTGCGACCTGCGAGTCGGCAGCAACAGGAACACGGACCCGTGCGGCGTGTGCGGCGGAAACGGATCGAGCTGCCAATCGCGATACTCGTGGAGTTTGGAATCGATATCCGCCTGCTCGAAATCATGCGGCGGAGGTGAGTGGTTGGTTACGAAGTTCATTCGGTTGAAGCACTTACAATTAGTTCACCGACGGCTAGTCCATTTACATCGACGCTGGGAGCAATGAATTCTAATGAACTTCGAGGCCGCGGAACGTTAAGCGTTCCCTGGACCCTTTGTCGAAATTAATAACTACTTGGTCCGGCTGATTACCCGACCTATCGTGGCACGATGCTTTGGCCTCGTGGACGTGTCCTGAGCTCCTTCGGCGTCAGACTCCCTCCGGGAAATTCGGTTCCCGTTCGGACGTCGAAAATCGAAGAAATGCCGGAGGTCCAAATATCGCGCGGAATTCCATTTGCTTCACGCTGATTTTTTAAATATCTTTTTATCTTTGCACGATCGAAACGCGACGTTTTAAACGATCCTACTGGACAGGGGTCGACGTGACCGTTTCGTAAAGTGGAAAATGATATAAAGCGTTAAAGGGGATTCTAGCGCATTTTGCAAATGGAGATACATCGTTCGTGGCAAGATTCGTACTAGACATCGCGCTAAATTCAGCCATCGTAGATTTTCATAAACCGACTTTTCGACTGTCCACGGAGGATGATAATAAAAAGCTCTATAAGTGGCGGAATTTTATTCGGAGAACGTCATTTCGATGACCCTTTGCTCTACATTTTCGACACCTGTGCTGTCATGTCGCGCTTAAACGACACGAATGCCATGCTCTCGTCGAATTGACGTTTCTCTGAATACCTATGACTCTTCTAATAATCGTATCCATTCTACTGAAACCTGGTAAATATCGCGAATCGATTCAACGAGGAAAAGAGAGGAACCTGGGGAAGGTTCCCTTTTCCAGCGAATCGTTCCACGATCACGACGTAAAATACCATTCCCTTTTCCCGTCAGGCTTCAAGATCGCGAGGGCGGTGTGCAAGGCCATCGGCCCAGACGATACTGTAGTAGACGACAGCTATTGCGATCCGGACAACAGACCAGAGAAGACCCTGCTACCGTGCAACACGCACCCCTGCACCGCCAAGTGAGTAGCTTTCCGACGTCTGGTCTGCGTGCACGATGTCCGTGTCAAAGAACGTTAAATCGTCGGCGCGGATTTTCGCATCGGAACGAAGCGTGCGGCTTCGAATACGGATACACGAACGAACACAAAGAGTTCGTCGTTTGACGAATCGTTCGCGGATTTTTACACGCGTCATCAGTCGCGTGTCCGTGGTAAAGAAGTCGGTTCCATCGAGAGCGATGTGGATATTCCACGACTAGATTTCTATTCATTTCTCATCCCCTATCGTCGCCGAGAAAAAGACTCGATTCGATATGTCTATTCGGGAGACCAATGGCTTCGTTTACGGCGATCTTCCGAACGAAGATGACTCGCTTTTTCGTCTTTTATTTGCACTCCCGACGTGGTCCTGTCGATATTCCTTTTTACCTGTGATCCTATTAATAGCGTGTACGTAGAAATTCTAGGGTTTGAGAGCGAATGCAAAGGAACATCTTGGGTCTACCTAGCTGATAAAGGGCAATAAACAGTAGCCTAGAGTTCAACCCGAATGTTTAGAGTGACGTCTGAAGTGCACGTGGAAGGACGAGTGACCGCGTGCAAGGATCGGATGAACGGAATATTTATGATTTTATCGAATACAAGTGAAGAGCGAAAGGCGTCTGAGTGTTTAGGATACGTGACCCATGGAGAACGAGGCTGTGAGAAATGCGTGACTGAGAAAGAGAGCATGAGTATGAAAGAAGAGAGAGAGCAAAGTTTAACACTAGAACTAGCGATCTTTAATGGGTACCTAACTATAACGTGCACAGATTATACTAATTTCAAGGGTACGATGAATGAGTGTATATAGTGATTACAGTTCTTTCTTAACCCTTTGCACTCGACAACTTTTTCGTTACAGAAAAATAGTAATTTGAAGACTTTCTGTCATAGAGTCGACGATATTTTTAAAATGGTAAATGAGAAATCATATGCAAATTAAAGAAATCAAATGGGTTAAAACGATAAATAAGAAATCGTATGCAATTTAAGACGTAGAATTATTTTACTTCGGTATTCCACACATCGTTAGGTAATTTTAAATTTGATATATTAATTAACGTCGATCTTCAGAATCTGATCGAGAGTCACCTCTCGAGTGCAAAGGGTTAATATGAGTTAATACCAATTTTATTCCTAAAGCAGGTGTATGTGTTCGGTGATTGCAAAAAGGAAAATTCTGGGACCAGTCATTTTGACTGGGTTGATAGTTCTAGTGTTAAATTAGGGTACAAGGGCTGTCCTAAGACAGTCCTTTACGGAGTTTGAAGAAGAATCGATGTACGAATGTTAGTTACGTGGTCATATCAGTTGCTAGTCTAGTCTTTCAGTTTATAGTCTAAGTCTCCTACTCCCAAGTCTCATTCAGCTCGCAATAAATATATATATTGGAATAAAACACCACCTATTATTCCTCATATTTGCCAATCAAAAGTACCCCTACGTGTATTATATCCCGCCGAAAGCTCAGCAAATCGAGACCGTTTGTTCTTCATCTTGCGACGAATCGACGACGGAAAAGCACTCGCGGGAACGTCGAACGCGCGACAAAGTGACGCATTGAATTCGAACGTACGAAGAGGAACTTCGTTAAAGCTTTTCTAATCGCGGGTCCGGACTCGAAATTGGACGTTTCGGTTTTACGAGGAGACAGCAAGGGGAATGTTTGACTCGGAGAGCACGTTCTCGCAGCTGCTCGAAATTCTCGTATTTTCCACGTGCTATTCGCGAAATCGGAACTCCCACTTTTAGGATTAACGCCGGCCAATCTTCCTCTCTGACCAATTTCCTCGCCACGGCCGTGGACAAAGCAAGCATGCAGTCCCGATTATTGTTAGACAAGCCGTGCCGGTGGTGGCGTGTACGTGTGCACGCGTGCACCGACAGCCGCGCAGAAATGGATACGGTGGCCGTGTAGACTAGCAATACGAGCTTGGAAACGATGGGCCGGAGCTTTCAAGCGGACTGAACGGCCATTAGTCGACGGACGGAGTGGGAAAGAGCAAAAGCCCGGCGGGCCTCTTTCTGAAAGAGAGCTGGAAAAACAAGCTTCCAGTCCCTTCCACAGACCAGAGACACACCCTCTCTCTCTTTATTGGCTACAAGAATCGCTCGCTGAATATCGGAATGCCTCGTACCTTCTTGCGCGCGACGTTATCCGAAATGGTATACCTACTTTCCGTGAATATCGTCGCGTATTATACGGTTCTTAGAACAAGTTCCCTGTAATTTTACGAAAATCGCTAATTCTATGTATTAACCGCTTACCTTACAACGCGAGGTCCAACGACGCGTGCTCTAGTCAACAACAAAGGTGGTCACGCGTCGAGCCAGGTCGTCCGAACACTTTGAAGAATAACACACAACTAAACCGGAAAGACATCGACGAATGTTAACGACGAGCAGGTTACTACGCGCACGTGTGTTTACATTGGGACTTAGAAACCACGCCTCTCGCTCATGATACTCGTGTTTTTGCTCGAATTCCTTGCCAGGAGTCTCACGCGATATCCTAGGCGAAGGTTAATTTCGTCGTGGTGTGGGAACGTATAAAGGTTCTTCGCCTGGTCGAGATTTCAGAGAAATTTTCCGCCATCCCGTGACTCTTCGTTAACCACCGTAAAAGGCAGGCGGAAAAAGCCACGTAACAGGGCACTTCCTCCTATCCTTCATCTTGAAACACGTTCTACGTCGCGCGCATTTTTCATTTTTTCCCGTAACCGCCGATTCCCGTAGGAAAAAACACGAACGCGAGCAGCCCGGAGGAAAGAGAGTTGCCCGAATGTCAGACAAACAATTCGTCCGACGATATGACTGTTTTTCCTGCCGTCGAACGGATCGCGGAGACGTAAGGCGCGCTTCTTCCTCCGGAGATCGCGATCAGAAAAATCGTAAGAGTAACTTCGCGAAACGATCCACCGGTCATAAAGTAGCAGCTAGTCGGACCATCCTCGGGTCTCCACGACCCGTGCCCCTGAAAAAGTTATTTAAAGGAATTGTTCGACTTTCATGCGAATCTCTCCACGGTTGTGCAAACAACTCCCCGTTCCGCTCGACGATGCTCGTCGTGCCGTGTTCTCTTCCACGATACGACCAACGCGAAGAAGAAACGGCACGCTTTATTTCCCGCGGCCACACGGTCCCGTGTGTCTCTACGTGCCTGCACCGTCTCTCTGGCCATCAACGTAGTTTGAAAAGTAGCGAGAATTTATTCGCGACCACGAAAGATTCTCGCAGCTCGAAATTCGATAAATTCCGAGACGCGGAGAACGTACGGTCTTCGAGGTTTCCTGTCCTCGTCGTGGAGTAAATTTTCCACGGGGAAGTATTCCGTTGGACGGTAACGCGTTATGGAGCGGGTTGTTAGTTCGGATGATACCTTCGAATGAGACTCGGTAAAGCGGCAGATATTCGACGTTGAAACTCGATGTCTGCTAAACGACGCACGAACCGACGACAAATTTATTTCTCTGATTCACAACGCGGACGCTGAACGGGGTTGAAAGCGTTCGCGATAAAGCGTAACGATCGGAGAGGATAACGAGAGGGGGCGGGGACGGGGAACGTCCTGGGGATATTTTTTCGAAGAAACAATCTTAGTTCTCGGAACGATACGGCCTGTTCTTTGTCTGGATAAAGGAAAGGGAGATAAAAAGCGGTGCTTTAAAGCTCCGCTTCCGATGAGAATCGTCCCCCGGACAGGCAGACACTGCGTCGGCCACGAAGTTCGGGCAAAAAACTCGCCGTGAACCATTCTTACTGGATATAAAACGTAGCACGTCGTTGAAACGTGCAGGGGCGTGTGTATATCGGGCCTTTGTGAACGAAATTATGGTTCCAAGTCGAACGAAATCTCGTCGCCGATCGGACGCTTATTCTTCCCTCAACTCGCGTCCGTGTGCCCTCTTCCCTTTTTTATCCCGAAGAAATCCAGTCGCCACGCCGATCAGATTTACGAAGAATTATAAATAGACGGAGAATTATTTGCCACTTCTCGAATACGAAATTTCGAATACGAGACGCGACAAAAATCCTGCCGAGGCTTTGTAGATAGGTAGACGCCCGAAGAAAAATACCTTGTCATCGTCTAAATGGAAACGAATTTTTTCCTCGCCCGACGCCGCGATATTTCTCGTTTCAAGAATGAATTCGCGCTCGCGCATCTAAAAATGGCCGACCGTCTCGGAGGGTGAAACGGAAGGGGTGGTTTTTGCTTCCTCCGGACGCGAGTAGCGAAACGACGCGAAACGAACCTTTCCTAATGCCTCGGAAATTTGTTCGGATTTACCCGGGACCCGTCCTTCCCTATTTTCCGCGTTTCACCGGGTTCCATGGACGAAATCCGCGAACAAAGAACGTTCGACAGGGAAATCATGAAAATTCCGTCAAGTTCGCGCCCCTCGTCGTCCCCCCGTTCGTTGTTTAACGTTATTATGTGCAGCCAGGGCGAGGAAACTTCGCCACTTGGATGATGCACGTAGCCAAGAGCTCCGTGGTTAACGCTGCACCAACCAGGATCTCGAGTGGCTCAGGTTACTCGAACTACCATTTAACTTGCCGCAAGAGGCGAGTCACGCGACTGATTCGCGTCACATTTTCCTCTTTAACTTACTCGACCTTACGAGAATGCGGCTAAATAGCAACTAAGATGATCGATCGATTCGACGTGGTATCCGTTGAATACGCGACATTTCGTCAAGCGTTTATACGTGAATTTATCGCTGCTAGAAATTACGAGACCCCGAGTCGCTGTAGGATGAACCCCTCGAAGCCCTCGGACGGCGAGGGTTGCGAAATCTAGTAACCTAGGCTTTGAATTCCGTTACCTCGTGCACGAAGGGCGAAACTACGAACCAAGAAGGTGCTCGATAAAACGGCTGCCGAAATTACAATCGTCCGTAATTGGACGATGAATAATTTAACGAACGTCGGTCTTCGTTAATCGCGAATATTTGTGTTGCAAAGCGAAAGTGCTCGTCGATTCAGCGGCGTGAATTCGAGGGTGAAAAATCGAGACGACGAGTGTAACGAGGTGCGATTGCAACGTTAACAGGCCACAACGGTTAATAAATCACCGGTGGAGTGGGCCTCGTCAACGGTAAATTGGTGCTAATTGGCCAGGCCGAGAATTTAGTTTAATTCGGTTCAGCCAGGCCGGGCAAGTGGTCGACGTTTCAGCTATCCCCTGGGAGAACCGGGATTCCTAAACCGCTGCCTACCCGCAACTGTGTATTAAGCCACTGAATACTTCAGCGGCTATTATTCTATGTCGCGCTAGGGATACAGGCCCAATTAAATTCTATTAAGCGTTTTCCGGAACATTTGACGATTAATCTCGCGATCCGGCTACTAGCATCGATTGGCCAGAACCATGTACAGGGGTTTGCCTGTGTAATCTGCGCAGACTAAGAGAGGGTAATTAAACATGTGGTTGACGGTTCCACGCGATAGACAGATGGAATAGGTTAATACGCGTCATGTTCTCTACGGCTGAAAGAAAAGCGGAACAGTTCGATGGGTAAACTGAATCAGAGAATGGAGCTGCCTGTCGGGGAGCGGAAAGAAGAAAGATCGATCGGAATAAATTTTAACTGCAACGTGGATCGATTTCCTTGATCCCTTTTCGCGTGGCTCTCGTAATGAATAAATCCCGGAGGAGAAACACGAAAAGATTGGAAAAACAGGGAAAAAGGGGACGTTTTATCGAACAATACGCGAGCCACTGAGTATCTGCTTTCTTGGAAACGCGATGGTTTTTATGCCCGAACAACGGCGATGAAAATAATCGGCCAGCTAGGTGGACGTATCAAGACAGGCGTACACGTGTTACACGAGAACGGGAGCAACGCGGTTCGCGGTGTATCGAGCAAAACTTTCGTGCTGCAGCGATCGATGGATTCGTCTGGCGACTCGCGAACATTTTCGCCTAGGAAACACGCGATGTAGAGGAAATTGAAAAAGTCCACGACGATTAACGCTGTTTCCCTCGCTTTTTTCCATCTTTCGTCGACTATCGTTCACCGTGTCAACCGGCGTCGCGACGTCTCTGTCGTTTTTCTACCCTCGCGACTCCACTGTATCTGCAATCCGACGCATTCGCGATAAAGGCTAGTTTCCGAACGTTCGAAAACATCGGTCTCCACGTTGTTCGCAATTACTCGTGGCACTTTATTAATTCCAACACGCAGCGTATTTGACGTTGAGCTTATTCGGCAGCCGGCTGAAAATATCCCGGCTCGAATCGGGAAATTCATCGATTCGACCGGGGGAAAAGCTTTCGTCGCAAGAATGGCCGACATTTAATTCCCCGTTGTAAATATTGATCCGCGATCGGCGTACGTCTGGCATTTATGCGCGGGCTGTTTTTCAACGACGAAAATCCCGGGATCCAATCGCGGTATCAAAGATGACTTCCGGTTGAACGACAGCCTCGTCGAAGGGAAAGCTCTCGATTTTAATTCGGCTGTCGATTCCCTTTCAAGCGGATTCAAAGCGCTCGTGAAAACCGTGTATTTCGGCTCGCGATTCTTTTTATACCGTGGAAACTTCAAAAAACGGGGGTGGTGGGGGGAGAGGTAAAAAGGCAAAAGAGTTCTTTAAAAAACAAGTATTCTTAACGCTGATCGGGAGGAAGAGCGATATCGAGCTTTGAACTTACGAACACGAAACGTTACGTAACAATCCCGGCTTCCTGCTAGCTAGACGACTGGCGTTTCAATTGATTCTTTTTTACATTTCTAGATGGGTAGCCGGCGAGTGGAGTATGTGCAGCGCTAGCTGTGGAGGTGGATCGAGAACCAGAACGATTTTCTGCACCGAGGAGAACGGCAATGAGACTACGAAGGTAAATAAGAGCCGGAATAGGAATAATTTAAATACGCGAAATCCCTTTATATTAAATTCCGGAATTTTGGCCGGGATCCTGCTTGGTTTCTTTCCGCCGAGGAACAGGCTGCAGCGTTTCCTCGCTGACGCCAGAAGAAACGAAAACGTTGCCGTGATATCGATCAGATTTTATTTTCATTGTACGTAGCCGCACCGACGGCAGGGGATGGAATTCCATTCGGTTACTCGGGCAAGTTCCACGTTTCGCCAGATTCGTCACGTCTGCGGGATTTATGGTTACGAAGTATACTCCCGAGGTATGATCAGCCCGGCCGCGATAACGATAACGTAATCGAAAATTCGTTCCACTTTATCGCCGGAATTTCAATCCCATTGCTGTGTCGAATCTTTCACGACATTCGATGATTCGTCGTCGGGCTGCCTGCAATCCGCTAATATAAGTCCCGACGAGTTCCCGGGGGTTGCACGTCGGATAAATAGGTTAATAATATCCTTCGTCTTTGAGGCTTCGCGACGCGGCCTCTGCCGGGACTGTCACAGAGATACGTGTCTATCCATCCATCCATCCATCCGTCCGTCTATTCCGGTGCCAACGACAGCCTGGCAAAACCCACGAACCCTAACCCAGTTCGGTTCGTTTAAACTGGAAGGGCCGCTCGCGATTCTCTGTCAACCACCGTAAAATCCTCTCATCCGAGACTCGACAAGAGCAGTCGGGAACACGCGTACCGCTGAAAATACGTATGGTTAGACACGATGTATCGTGCACCGCGAGAATTTGCATCTTCTTCTATGCCCGCCTCTCTGTGTCCCTTTCCGTGGAACGAGTAGGTGACTCTGCTGACGTTAATACACAGGGGACGTAATGGTCGCGGTAATAAAATACGCGTTTGGCAGTGGTATACGGTTATTGGGACGCGACATAGTCGCGATTAAACGACCGGATGACGGAAAGGTGGGCGAAGGGCTATTAAAGAGATCGCAGCCTGTTCCAGTCGACACGAACCGGATAAGAATCTTCGATCTTTATCGTTCCAGCTGCCTGACCACAAATGCAGCAACACGCACAAACCCCGTAACCAGGAAACTTGCAACACCATCTCGTGTCCCATGTGGGAGACCAATAAATGGAGCGAGGTGAGTACAAGACAATCTCAGGTACCGGAACTGCGATCCTCTCGCGTGAACATGCCGTGAACATGCAAAACAAGCAGCAGGAGTGTTACCCGTGCAGACAGACCAAAGTCATTCGCCTGACGCTGGAATTTAGGACTCCACGAGATGCCACAGGGAAAGGAGTATTTATTGCCACCCAGTGTGACGGTCGGAAGACCTGCAGGGGGTTGGGCCGCAGCGGTATTTATTACCGCGTCAAGATGAGTCCTCTATTGGAGAACAGTGTCTAAATCGCCAGAGTTATGAACTCGTTTCTCACCTTTGTTTCTGGTATAATGAAAAATTTCCTTCTCCCGTTACACCCGAATTCCGTGTTCCCGTTGTAATGCAGAACGTGGTCATATATCCAGGGATCGATCATCTTTGTGCGACAGCATCGCAGGATTTCGAGTCACGCGATAAACACGTGGCAATTTAGCGTGAAATAAACACGGGGGAATAATTTCTATGCACCGGGGTTAACGTATTTACGCGAGTTAGATGGACCTTTTGTCTCTTAAAAGGACGTTAACGGGCTCCGCGGATGAGGCAAGCGAACATGTAACCTTTCCCTATCTCGTTATATCTGTCTATTCGTATCAAGAAATCCGATTTCCTCCGGGAACAGTAAACAGGTTGGACTGATTGTTGCAAAGGGAAATGAAACTCGTTCTACAATTTGCTTTGTGCGAGCCAGATGTTTTGTTATCGCGTTTCGCCGCGGATTAACGTTGGCCCAAGCAGCAACGGGAATGCAATTTTACGTTCCTCCTCTTTGATCGATGCAGAATTTTGAACGACCTCGGTCGGAATCGTTTCTAAAAGAACAAAAGAAAGACATTTACCGTTCTCCATTCTTCGTGCAACGAGCACTTTCTACCGCGACATAACGCTGAAAAGCGCACCAAGTGCGCCAAGGATGAAATTCGTGAACATCCGTATCGGAACGAACCATGACGAATATGTATAAAAATATTTAACTACGCCAAGGGAAACCTCATCGAAGTATCGATGACAAATCGAACGTCTGTACGTGCGCGAAACTTTGCCGTTTGAATCGAGCTAAAGTTTAAAATTGGTAACTGGGGAAACGTCTGCCCCGATAAAAAGGGCATGACTTCGAAACCGGAAGCACCGTCGACAGCAGCGGCAGAAAAAGGGTACAACAAAATTAGCAGGACGACGGGCCATCGTTTAAAGTCCTTCAGAACTTTCTCTTGCCCTAGCCGAGGAAACGGCAAAACGAACCACGAAACAGTTTCCTTCCCGCCAGTAATTTCATATCCAGCCCCGCCCTCCTGCGGTCGAAAAGCACTTAATTTGCTCAAATATTTTTCCCCTCCAACCCTTTCGCGTCTAACGACATTAACGCCTCGGCAAAGCGTCGCGGGTAAACCCAAAGAACTTCCCGTCTAGCCCTGCGCGCGCGCGGGCGTGCTTCAGAATTTCACGGAAATCGGATCTTCTCGAAACCGAAGAAACTCGACCGAGCATAACCACCACCACCGTGGATCCACCAGTAACCCCACGGAGAAGGCGACACGTTTGAACGCGTAAAAGTGGAAGCAGACGGGGGTAGATTTTCACCTTCACGGCGCCGCCATTCGTGACGCCTAAACCTCCTTCCGCGATAAATGCGCAGCCTGGTTACGTTTGCTTCGTCCTTCGTCTCTTCCTCGAGTGTATCTGCACGAATTTCTCCTTTCAGCTTCTCCCTCTCTCTCTCTTTCTCTCTGCAGAGCTCTTCCAACGACCCAGGCCACATCAACCACCGACATCAAACAGGACAATTTAGTCGTCAAATAAGCTTCTCCCTTGCCCTTCTCGCTCTTCTCCGAGTTTTCCTTGGCCCCATTCCGCTCACACTCGTATCGTCCTTTCAAAATCTTCGGCAAAAAGACGGACACGCCTTGTTCGTAACCATCCTCGTGGTTGTCCGTGTCGAAAGGACAAAAAATGCGTAGCAGTCCTCGAGCGTGTTTTCGAGGTCGGGTGGAAAAACAAGGGTGGAAGAGCATGAATATAGTAGGAGACAACAGAAACAAGGGTGAAGAGCAGGTTACCGGAGGAGCGGTCCCCGATGGGAAGAAGCTATATCCATGGCGTTCGCGAAACGAATCGCGATACGAACGAAACAGACGGAAATTCCGCGTGTGCGTCGGCGAAAAAGTTTCGACTCGTAGATACGAGTAATTCGAGCTCACCGCGTACCGCGTTGGTGAACGCGGAATTTTAATAACGGTAAATACAAAGGGCCAGCGCGTAGGGAGAAACGAAAAAAGAAATGGGCGAGGAAAGAGGAAGGCTCGCGAGCGATTTCGCGAGACATTTAACGAGACATTTCGCAAGAGTTGAAAGGCAAGAAGCCAGGAGGAGCAAGGGGAAGACAAACGAACGGAGAGAAAAAATAGTGGCGTGATAAGAGGTTCGAGAGGAGAGGCGGAGAGACGGAAGAAAGGGAGAAAGGCGCGCGAAGAAGAGGGTAAGAGGGAGCATTCTCGTGGAAAATGCCTGGCGTTGCTCGACGAATTCATCGTTGTTGCCGATTGCGTTCGTGATGGTCGTACACGTGCACGGACTGTGTCACAGACGCAGAAACTCACACCTGTACGTTCGTACAAGCGCGAGTGCAAATCGATTCGAGACACGGTCACGTCAAGAGGCTCGCCGCCAAGTGCGTCGCCGTTGCAGCTTGCAGCAGCATGCAGCTTGCAGCCACACGAGTTCGGTGGACGTTACACCACATGGAACTCGTACGCGTTGCCCGCGTAATAAATGCGATTCGGATACACAGAGGATGCACATTGTGGAAGGTTCGAACGACTCGGTGGCGCCTACGGGAGTTTCGGGGCTCGTTTTGGCACGATGCTCGATGACCGACTCTCTTCTCCCATCCCTGGCCAACCCCCGCCGTCCCACTGCCATTTCTTGCTCGCCGGTCGGACAACCGTGTGTCCTGAAAAGCGCGATATCTGCTGGAAGCATTCCAGACATTTGGTTTCGGGGACGTCCGATTTCATGCGTTTATGGAAATTTAAGTCCCGCTTCCCCGACCTCTTGGATTTCATTCCGATTCTGTTTCAGCTCGATGCATTGAAAACTTTTCGTACATTGTCGCGGTTATATACGAGCGTACGATAATTGTGAAACTTCGACTTTGGCCGGTCTCCTGCAATTTCCTAGTTGGCCGCGATCGTTACATCGCGGGGAACACCCTGTACACGCGGCGAGGTGCGTGGAAAAATTCGAACGGGGCTTGCGATTTATGCAATTTTCCATTCTAATTCAACCACGCGCCGTCTCTTACCGGAATCGGTCGGTAAAAGCGAAATATCATCGGAAACGCGGGTACGGCGTGACGCGGTTTCGGTGGAAGAAATTAAAGTAACTTCACCGTGTAACTCCGCGCGGGAGATCGTTTCGTTTATATTCAGAAACAAACTGGAAACGCTAAGAAAGTTCTGGGAACGATAAAATTTTACAACATCGTATCTCAGGCTGCCAGGCGCGAAACAAGGGAAGCAACCGTTCCCGAATGCAACGGCCTGGGCAGAAAAGTGACTCGCTTCGCGCGATCCGCTGCTGGCTGATGCAACCTCGTGCAGCAAGAATAAAACTGCAATAAGAGGTGCAAAGAGACGCAACAATAAGGGACAAGTTGTACGAGAAGGTCGCGTTTCCATGCCTCCTCCTCTTCCCTGCCTTTCTCACTGTCTCCCCGTATCTTTCCCTCCTTCTCTTTCTCTCTGTCACTCTCTTTCCTCTCGTACTTCGACGAGGACGAGCGAACTTTCCATCTGGTACACGCGAAGTGGGAAAAATCAACGGGATTCCCGACGGAATCCACCGAGTGGAGTTATGCTTTATTCATGAGGGCCGCTAAATGCACTCGCGCATCCCAGATACGTATTTATTACTGTTACTCCTCGATACGTAAAAAGCACGCCGGTATTTCGCGGATCGTGCCGACTCATAATGGTGGCGGGCGGTAACGAGAAATCGCTGCGTCGTTTTCACTTTGGAATATTTCAAGATCTTGTCCTCGATGACGAAGATACACCACGACGGGTACGAAACAAAGGGAGGGAAAAATTGCAGGCTGCAAATTGAAAGTTAAATTTCATTTCCCCTCCGTTCGGAGATTACCCTGTTCAACGCAAATTTTAATCTGTATTATCCACTGGGTAATTCTCTTGAAAACAAATCCGTAATCGAAGCTGCTCTATCAGCATCAGTTTTCAAAAATTGGGGTTTTTCTAAAAACGCACGTTTTTTTACTAAAATGATGAATTACGTAAAAACTAAGAACGTTAGGTGATTATATCGCGAGTTTATCAGTGTCCATAATTATAATTATTTGCATTTCCGAATAATTATAATTGATCATCAGAATTTAAAAATGAGTCTCTACTTTTACGCACTATTTTTGCATTTTTATCCCCTTGCCTTATCATTTAAGTTCCGATGGCCCATGCATAGTAAACAGCAACAATGCTTACACATCAAGACACGTCGAACCACTTCGTGCAAATGATTGGAAGAATAACACATAACCGATGCGAAGAGACATCGGCGAAAATTAACCACGAGCCTGGCCCGTGTTGTTCACCTTCGGCCTTATCTACGAACCACGTCTCTCGCTCGTGATATTCATGTTTGGTCCGATTTCTTTACCACGAGTCTCACACGATATCCTAG